GCAAACCACCACTAATTTATTTAAAAACAGATTTGAACTCACACTATAAAATTACTTACACTTTCTAATAAAGCACCCTTTCTAACGGTTGTAAGTTGTAACTAATACACATTATAAGCCATCTAAAGCAATAACTTGCACCTTGTGAAAAACCCCTTTGGCTGGCGTTTACCATCCTGGGTTGTGATGTTACAAATCATGTCTGTATGCCTCTTAAAAACTGATTTTCAGTGATTGAAGAGAAACTTTCTACTTTCAGCAAATGAATGTGAAAACATCCTTTTAGTGTCAAACTCTGCACATACATCATACTGCACAGTGAAGCTCAAACATCCAATTGTAGGAACAAGAAGACAAACATACTTATAGCTGTCGGGGGACTTTAAGTAAAAGTAGCAACACAAGAGTGTAAATATACTTTGTTAGCAGTAAGAAAACTATGCAATACAAATTTAAGTAAAAAATTGAATATTATCAGCTACATTTTATCATAAAATCATAAAAATGTAAAAAAAAATATATATAAAACTGCTAATTGTGCAGAAAACATGTATCCTATTATATGAGTGTCATAGGGAGTGTTAAACATTAGAGTATGGGATTGTTACATAATAATAGTAAATAATAATATTCATATTGATGCATTTGAAAGTAGCATTTTACTCTCTTTTAAGTATGCTATATACTGCTGGCTTGTTCATCTATAACAATGCATCTTATTTCTCAAAAATCATCATGGAGTAAAAAATATCTCCCTCTGAGATGAAGTGAGGTAAAGGGAATAAACGTGAAATGACTACTTAATACTACTGACTCAAGTAAAGTACATTATTGTATAAGTACTTATTACCATATGACTATAGATATGACCGCTTCTCCAGTGAGAAACGTATGACCCCTTATTACTGTAAGGACTACAAATTTTTGTAACTTAAAGTTTGTTAAAGGCAAACAAAAAGTAAAAAGTAATTTATCTAACCTGGCAACCCAAGAGCATTTGTAAATTATTTTTAACAAATCATTTATTAGACAGTGGTAGCCTCTCCTATAAACAGGATTTAAAACCTGTTAGACATTTACTAATTGCTTCTCATCATAGACACAACTGAGTATTGTTTTTAATAATCTATAGCCTATAGTCTCTATATTGGATATGTAACTCTATATATAGCCTAGTAGTTTTCAGGTGATGTAACATGTGCTGAACCAAACTGAACATAATTGTGGCGGTGTCCTGCTCATGCGTCATTCTGAAAGACAGACAGGCATACAACTAATACATAAAACCTGAACCACAAACTGACACCAGAGTTGGGCTTGAAAGTATAGTAGGAGGACAAACAGAAGCAGCCGGAAGTACCCCAGCAGGTGAAACTGGCGCCAGGCCAAACAGCCCTCTCTCTTAATGTGAACAGCAACAACTGCCCGTCCGGTGCAGTAACGTCCTTTCAGGTCGCTGCCGGCTTCCTCCTTCCTGTGATAACTTCACACAATGTAGCCTAACTACATGAGCACAACCTGTTTTGCCCGTTGCCTATTAATACCATTAACTCCTCCGAATAAACAACTTAAAGCCCCATTCCACTCCTTGGCATGACAATGTTAGTAACACTAAACTACTGGGCGTCCAAAACATTTGAACATAATTTGGCTCCCTGGTTTGGGTTGGGTTTGTCCGATACAAAAGGTTATTTTTCTAAACCAGTCACTGAAGAGGCGCACGCTCCCACGGGGTATGTTGCCACGCAACCACAAGCCCCGCCTACCATCGCAGTGGCTTCACCTGAGCGGGGCTCACGTGACGGACAACGCGAGTTCATCCAATCAGGAGTGAGGACAGGTGCTTCTAGGTGAGAGTTTCGGAGGCGGAAACCTGCTGGTTCAGTAAACGTAAGCCGCTCCTTATAAATGTCTCAATTCATCTGTACTTTACGCAAGGGTTGTGGAAGAAGTGTAGAGTTATTTGACGAGAGCAACAGAAGAGAAATTCATCTTTTTGGAGGTGGGAGATGTGAGGAGGCAGCACACCTGGCTCGTGCGTAAAATGGACACTGGTGCGACGCCGTAAAGGACTGCTGTCACAGTTGAGCTCCGCCACTGAAGAAGAAGACACTGACACTGTCCTGTGGATTCATATTTCAGCACTGTCAAAACTGTGACATTTACACTTTGCTTTAGGTCGTTCAGTTGTTCACAGCACCTGTTGCAGCGCAGGTGAGTGTCCGTGAGAGCTTTTTTTGCGCATTGTTCACCTGTGAATCACGGCGTGGGTTGCTCTTCAGTTCTCAGGACTCAGTAAACCAGTTTTACAGTAAAGAGTAATCATGGCTACACTACTGGTTATTCCTAGGATTAGCAGGCAAGAAGTTGTCTCACCAGTGTGAAATGGCTGTCACAGAGCTGAAGTAAAAGGTCATTTAAAGCACGTTCTAATTTAGATAAACACACAAGGAAAATAGGATTTGTGATGATTATGAGGGTGAGGGTGAAGATGAGGAGCATGATGAATATTAGAACAATGTATGTTTATAGGAATAATTTTACGTCTTACTACAGAATAGGTCAATTAGGAGCCAATTCAGAGCATGATACCAGGTGATAAAGTGACCGCACAGATATAATTACATCATTCAAACTAATACTGATGCAGAGGAGACCTCCCAGAGTACAGCTTACTCATGGCATCTGTTCCTTGTTCCAGCTCATTCCCTCCACTCAAAGATGACAACAGAGAGGACCCCATGGTGGAAGGCATTCCTGTCAAAGAAGAAGGGCGGAGCCCCCAAGGACCCCGCTTCAATCCAACCCTTTGATCCGGACTTTAACCCTTTTGCACAACGGGCCGAGAAGCCCAAAGAGCCCGCCGCAGCAGCCCCCAACACCACGGGCAACCAGTCCCAGCTGTCCCAGCAAGAGTCCAACAAGAGCTCCAGCCTCCTCAGCGACGAAACCTATGACGACTCCCACCTGGAGTCGGTGTTCAACGAGCAGACCTGTCGCAGGAACATGAAGGTGTCACGCTCAGGTCGATTCAAGGAGAAGAGGAGGGTGCGCTCGAGCCTTCCCCTGCAGGAGAAAGAGACAGGGAATGGGGCATCAGGGAGAGAGGACATACGGTGACGGTGAGGAGGAGGAGGTGATCAAAGACTGCTTTGCAGAGATGCTTGAAGAGAAGGAGAAGGAGTACATGAAGATGCTTCGTTCCTTTGAGGCATACCATCTGCTGTATGTTGGTTATGATGGTGATAATGAAGAAGGAGCATTCGACTTTTAGCCCAGTACTGCAAGAATAAGGTTATGTGGTACATGAAATATTGGAAGGTTTTGGACATTTTTGTTGATGGACTTGTGCCAGAGGGCCACAATGAGGACTTGAAAATTGATTATATTTGTTCTCCATTGTGATTATTGAACCATTTTGCCAACCATACCCTATAATCAAAGCCCTAAAGAAGAGATACAGTAGTAATGCATCAAGTATCTAACATATAGTTAATGTCCCACAGTGTCTGTTTTTCAGTCACGCTAATGTTGCCATTGGACTCATAAAATTACCTACAATTACCTACAAGGCACAATCCTCCTCTATTTTCTGTTAATACTCCAGATAAAGTGTGATATGCTTCAGGAAAATATTGTTCATAAGATGTTTACATTATTTCTGTAATAAGAATAATATATGTTGAATAATGAAGGATAGGTATAATGCTTCTTTTAAGAAAAGCTTTTGCAAAAAAAATGTTGATTCTAAAGGGTTAGAAGGATGTTTATGAAGGTGTAAAGTGATTTCATTATTATGTTTAAACAAAAACAATCAGCTAGTGGAAGAAATTAAGGAATGCTTGTGAGTAGCCTTTAGTCAGATGCACAACACTTGCCAGCAGAATGCATACAATAATTTGAATGAAGGATGAAATCCAGCCTGTTTGTGATATAAACAAAGCTACTACTGGCATTGAAGTAAGAAGCTAATGTTGTCATATCCAACTGAATGAGATGTGGCCATGTAGCTACGGTTCCAGCCACTAATGTAGCTAGCTTCACAGGGATTACTGTATTTTTGGACCACCCGTGAACACTTGAATGAAGGCAAAAATATGAGAAATAAATCTGATAACTGCTACAACTGATTGTGTATGTGCGTGTGTGCTTCATTATCCTGTTCAATCACAATCTAATGACTGGACAATGCAAGGATAACTTTGAGATGTCCGCCCTTTGAAAAATGTTCTTGAGACAGATACTAGTGCATACTAAAATTAAAAAACATACATTTTACAGTTCATGGGTCACAGAAAGTCACGTAAACACAAAAGAAAATGTGCACTTCGAAACAACACATAAGCTAAAGGTGCAAAAGATGTAAAAAGAAGTCACAGCAGTCCTCTTGGCAGCCATGTTGCTGCCGGATAATCACTTAAGGAGGAGAAGAAGTCGGCACAGTGTGTGATTATCACATTGTCTGAAAAGAGCAATTACGGGGATTAGTGCCACTTATCTATAGTGTCTGCAGTATATGTCAAATGCAAGCCTAAATTACATTCTTCTGTCAATTAAAGGGAGGAGCAGGCCTGTGTCACTGCATTCCTCAGTTGTTGAGGTTTGAGGTGTGTGTGTATGTCACATTTACGTAACAGGGGTAACATACTGATTGTATCTTCTATGGCTATAAAAAAGACATTTTCAGATTTAATGCATTAATATAACCAAATTACCTCACATCAGCTTGTTAATTAAGATTCAGTAAGTGAAACAGGCTATTGGCTATTGGATAAAGAACTTGGAATGCCATGTTTTCAACACAAGAGGGCAGAAATGTCCCACAAAAATAGAACCAAAATTATAGTGAGTTTGAAAAAAAACAACAACAACAATCGAGTGAGATGTTGTTACAGAAGAGTCACTGGTGCAGACTCTCAGTCCAGTTCTTCATGCATACATAATTCCGTTATATTTTATCCCACAGGCGTAACACAAGGTGAGGGAAAGTTTCTTGTCAACTTCAGCATGAATCAAGTGGATGACACCCCGCCTCTGCGTCCCCCCATTGGTCCCCGTGTTGAGCGTGGGGGCCGTAAGGTGTGGCCTTGCACCACTCGCCTCCTGCAGTGCGCTCACAAGGGAATAAACAGCAAGAGCCATAAAGGCACCATTGTGCGGGGGGACCACTATCGCATGTTTTCAGCGTCTGCTATGTGGACTCAAGTATGAAGTGAAATAAAGAACTTTCCTGGGGCTTTTTGAAACTCTTCCAGGGGCACAAACGTCAGATAAGTGGTGTCCTCATTTGACTAAAAATAACTTGGAAACTTTCTCACCGGCCCGCAATGAGGAGCGCACTATGAGGCCAGTTTGCTGTGCTCCATCTCACTGAAGCTTTCCCTCCAAACAGGTGGTTTTCGGATATTTCGTGAAGGTAAGATAATATTTATTCTTTGCACACTCATGTGAGAGGTGGTTGTTCTTATTTCTACAAAATCAGGTGATGAAACCTGTAAAAATAAGGGGGAGGCATAAGCTCCAACAAAAAGTGATTACAACAGATGAGCTGTGTTTGTTTAAACACCTTTAATTTATCACCCTGTTACTGTTAATCCAAAGACCTGAAGTATCGGGTGTACCTTGCTCTTAATGTCAAGGTTTTACTGTTTCAGTGGATAGGTAGTTAGTCTATTTTAAAGGACAAAATAAAATAGTATAGTATGGTAATTTAGCACCTAATTTTGTGAGTTTCACACAAAAGTTACAGAAAAACATTTAGAGTGTACAAAAAACTAGACACACTTTTAACGTCAGCTTTACTTCCTCATTGTTTGGGTTCCAGGCGCACTGCAACATCACATTATACATAAATTAGCATATTATTATTACACAAAAGAAAGACATATTTCATGTTTTATATGTTATATTAGATATGCATGACTAAAAATAGCTATGATGTTATTGTTTGTTTGCCAAAAACTCATTCATAGACTGGTAGAGTTAGTTATCTTGCTTAGTGATGTTACTTGTGTAAAAAACTCCAGTCTGAAAATCCAATGTATTTAGTTGGGAGGGGACATGCAGTGTAAAAAGAGAGCACATAAAAATCCATTGCAATATTTCACAATGATTTAAAGCTGGATCTCTGAGACCCCAAACAGAAGATATCTTCTGTAATGGACATCCAAAATATCAAGTTCAAAATCATGCCTACAAGCAGTTCTCATAAAATCAGGAAAAGATGATTAAATGTTTGTTTCTTGAGCTGTTAAAGTTAAAGTATACATTATATTTACATCCTCCCTATTGATAATGGAGATTCTGTGTGTCATATCCTCAAGTCAGTGAGGTCAGCCTCAGTGGCTTTTTGCACGTCTTTCACATAAAAAGTGTAGAAACCCCTTGTTAAGGCTGCAGCAGCTGCCACTTCCAGCTGCTTGTGTGCGTGACATCAGATTGTCGTTGTTTCAGGAAGAACAAGATGTACTACAGGTCAAAAGAAAACGACAACTGGTGTGAGAGGTGCATTTCCACTCAGTGTACCACCTGTTCTTCTAAAGCTCAGCTAACCAGTGTCTAGCTTTGCCCCCCTTTACAAAACTTCACTATCAGTGTCACAGAGGCTGCTTGACACAGATATAAAGATAGAAATAGCAACGCAGGACAGTCTGCCAGTTGACCAAATGGGAGGCATGAACTGTACACACACACACATAGAGACAAGAGGGACCGATAAATAGAGATTTCACAAAAACAGGTTCTGTTCTGTGTTTTATTAAATTTCTTAGGAGGAGCATGTGCAAATTCCACAGAGAATGAATGTGCACAGACCTCGGGCTGTTTTCAGTCTCTCACAGTCACTGAGGCCAGCTCGTCAAGAATTTATGATGATAGGAAGTTTGGGTGGAGGTCTCAGTTACTGTCACTGTGGATCATTTACTAGCTGAGTTGGTAACGACATGTGGAGACTGAATTGCAGTGAAATAATCCTCGACATGAGCTGTAGGCTACCTGGAAAGCTGCTGTTTGGCCCGTGGTGTTTATCACTTTGATTACCAAACCAGCTGGTCTTGATGACAGAACCACCAAGAGAGAACAATGTGTGTGCACGCTGCAGCACTTTCCTGTGGAGTTTCCTCAATGTGTTTTCCAGTCACTCACTTCAACGAAGGCCTTTGGTCACTGAGCGACTGAAGGATAGAGTCCAGTACTTTTCGCACAACATGCTCCATTGTTCCTCTCCTAAGTCCCGCCACAGGGCATTGTGGGAAGAAGAGGAGGACAGGGGTGGAGGGTGTGTGTCAGATTTCTTTGGGGAGGATGGAGTTCTGCTTCCTGTTTTGCGCTGTACGGTGGTGAAAGCTCTTCCTGTTCAGGGAAGAGAATAGGAGGTCATCCAGTGTGCCCCTTAACACAGAAGCAGCTTCTGCCATGCAGGACAAGAGAAAAAAATCCTAGAAGGTGGTCTGTGGCTGCAGTGCATGAATAGGATGGAGACTGTGTTTGTTTCTGCAGGTATCTGAGGCCTCAGCATGCCAGTGCCCCCTCCTCCCCCTCCACCTCCCCTGGCTCCCCCACCACCCCCACCGCCCAGTGCTGCGCTACCACAGGTAAGACTGTGTGTGAGTCTGACTCTCTCTCTCTCATGCAGTTGTAAACACTCACTCCTGTCCTTCTCACTGACCATCAACCATCACCTGGCGGTTGTTTGCATTATTGATTGAGGTAATACACACACACACACAAACACAGAGTAAGGCAGACAGTAGACTCTCAGTAGCATAAGAGTGTTAAGTTTCCACAGCAGGCACACAGTGTCCTCATGTTAAATGAGTTGCCACTGCCAGCAAACAAGGCCACACTGCAGAGACACATCTACAATCGTTAGTCATACTGCTTCTCAATGTGGGCTACATTCACTAAAATCATCTTCTCCCCTCCTGTTTCTCTTCTTCTTCTCCCGCTTTTAATGTCTTCCTCACATGAACTCTGAATGATGTCACTGTACCTTCTTGTTTTGTTTTTTGTGTCTGTTTAGCATAAGAGCTGATGAGAAGTACAGTAAAAGAACAGATGGTGAACAGATGATGATCCTCCTGTGCAGTTTACTTGTTCTTATTATGTCACAAAATAGTAAAAGATGCTAATTAAATTTCCCAGAGTTCCAGATTCTTCAAATATCTGGCTTTGTCTGACCACCATCCCAAAAGCCAAAGACATTCAATATACAATAATAATATAAAAGAGAAATTAGCAAATGGTGGCTGCCAATGGTCGCCATATTTTTCATGATGAATACAATAAATTATTAATTGATTATCAAAATACAATTTTCTGTCATTTGACAAATGAATCAACTAATCTATTTCGGCTATCTAATCTAATCTAATAGTTAGCATCTGAAGTGGACCCATAAGACAGGACACATACTGTATAGGGCAAAACATTGGTCAGTAAAGCTCTTTTCTTTTTGTCTGTGTAACAGTGTCCATCAGAGCCTCCTAAGCTCCAGTCTGGTGGAGGAGGAGGTGGAAGGAATGCCCTGTTGGCCGACATCCAGAGAGGAGCCAGACTCAGGAAAGTCACACAGGTCAACGACCGCAGTGCCCCGTCCGTCGATAGTAAGAGCAACATCCTTATCATGCTACGAAAATGCACATCCACTGTATCTGTCTGTGGAGCGTAGAGGAACAAGGTTAAATGGTGTGTGTTTGTATGTTGAGATGCCCTATAGTGTGGTAAAAAATAGTGGGGAAAACATTAGGGCAGAAGGTAGTGTTTAGTCGTGTAGTTCATTGGGGATGTGTTGTTTCTGTTTGTGCTATATTTGAGCGTAGACACACACATACACACACATACCAAGTGCACACTTCAGGAAGGAATGCCCTATAGCAGATAAGGATGCAGGCAGAATAGGAAACTACCATAAACAGGGACAAAGACAAAGACTCTGATACATCAGAGTATCAGAGTCTACTCAATAATGTGACCTTATGAGAAATCAGCTGAACTTACATGTTGCCATTGGCGGGTAAATAGTACAGTAGTTTACAGTAGCATTGTTACGTGTATGGAGCCAGGCCAGTTGAAACAGACCGCTCTGTGTGGTAAAAAGGTGTGTAGTTAGGCCTCAGGGACATCATTTGAGTTGGGTGGTGCAAAATGTACTCATTTTCCTGCCTGAATTGCTGTCAGCTTCATTATGTTGTCTTTCATAATTAGGTACAAAATTCCCACAACTGCAAAGCCCATTTTGCACATAAAAGACTGTGAAACAATAATCTTATGTATGAATGAATTCCGTTTGTAATGAATATGTGATGGATATATAATGGTTCTGTACTGAAGACTGTACTAAATGCATGCTGATGTACTGTAATGTTTTGTTTCCCAGAGCCCAAGGCCAGCACTGGAGATGTGTCCAGCAGTGTTGGTGCTTCTCAGGGCTCATCAGGAGGGACGGCACCCATGGGACCCTCTTTGGGTGGGCTCTTTGCTGGAGGGTTCCCCACTCTCAGGCCTATAGGTCAAAGAGACTTAGGTTGGTGCATAATGTCTTGCTCTTATGAAATCTTTCTTTATTTGTGGTTTGATCATCCAAATGACTCTTCTTGTGTGTGTGTTTGTGAAAAGTATCACGGTCGAGCTCCTCTGCCTCCCTGAAGCCCCTGTGGAACCCTCCCTCACCAGCGGACACGAGCATCATCCCTGAGCCTCACAGGACAGCAGAGCTCCGAGGCTCCGTCCACCGTCCGCTCGCTGCCTC